TCGTGATAAAGTAAAAACCAATGTATAGAAAGTCATAATAGAAATGAGAATTGCAGGCAAAGGCAGGGCCAGCAGCATGCTCCATCTAGGACAGTGGTTCTTAACCTTTCCAATGCTGTGACCCTTTAATACAGTTCCTCATGTGCTGATCTCCAAGTATAAAGTTATCATCATTGCTATTTCATAACTGTAGTTTGGCTGTTGACCAGGGTCTCTGTTCCCAAGACCATTGAAAATATGTGTCTTCGGGTGGTCACAACTCCCAGGTTAAGGACTGTTGATCTATGAAGTTGTTTATGATTTGGTATCTCTCTTCGATCCAACACAAGGCAGAATAGGATCGATGCTGTGCTGCGAACCCCCAGCTCACTGAATGTGAGGCTAATGGGAACACCAAGCTCTGAAAACTTACTAGCTATCATGTGCTTTAAATAATATGAAAAAGTAAGAAAAACGTGCCTGTTCATAGGATGGGATGGGATTCACCCAGAAAAAGAAGTGATGCTTTCACAACCTGAGTCCACTCACTAGAATCCACATAAAAATAAGGAGTCAATTAACTCCTCAAATTTGTCCCTGACATCAGCACACATGTCATCTATTCCTGACCCCCGAGCTCAGCAGGTCATCTAGATGGAGTAGGGCTTTGCCGTTCTCTGCTCCTGAGCACCTGGATTACAGAGGTGAACCACTACACCATGTCTTATGGGGGCTGGAGATGCAAACTTGGGTCCTTATGCTTGTGGGCCAAGGACTTTACTGAGCCATTTCCCCAGCCCAAAAACGTTTGTTTTGACGAATATCTATAAATCTAGTGAACACAATGAAAAAGCTAAGGGCAGTTAAATAGATTAAAAGTTACTGTTGTCTGTAGTGGAAACATGGAAATTTCTTTTTTGTTTGGTTGGGGTTTTTTGTTTGTTTGTTTGTTTTGAGATATACTTTCACTGTATAGCCCTGGCTGTCCTCTGTAGACCAGGCTGGCCTCAAATTCATAGAGATCCACCTGGTTCTACCTTCTGGGTGCTGGGATCAAAGGTATGCTCCACCACTGCCTTGCTTGGAAACACGGAGGTTTCTTTTCAAGATATTTTCTTTTTCCTTTCAAGAAAAAACTAACCTTACTGAGAAATGTACAAACTTAGTTTTTTCTGTGCTGCGGATCAAACTCCAGGCCTCACACATGCTAGGCACATGCTCTAATGATGACTTCAGCTTCCCCTCCAGTCCTGATCAAAACTTGTCAATGTCTTAACATTCTCCCAGCAGCTCATGGATCTGTCAAGAACAGAGACATAATTTCCACAGTGGTTTCTGAGGACCACGGGTGGTTGTCAGTATGCATCAGGGCAAAACTGGAGAGACAGAGTTTCAAGAGCACCCTATTGAAGTGTCAGAGAGATGGCTCGGTGGTTAGGAGCATTTGCTGTTCTTGTAAAGGAGTACAGTTTAGTTCCCAGCACACATATCAGACAGCTTGAAACGGCCTGTAATCCCAAATCTAGGAAATCCAACACCCTCTTCTGGCTTCTGTGGACACCTGCATAAATATATACAGGAACATACACATATAATCAAAATAAATAATCTTTGAAAGAATACTGCCTTGAGGGATTGGAGAGATGGCTCAGTGGTTAAGAGCACTGACTGGTCTTCCAGACTTCCTGAGTTCAATTCCCAGCCACCACATGGTTGCTCACAACCATCTGTAATGGGATCTATGCCTTGTTCTGGTGTGTCTGAAGACAGCTACAGTGTACTCATATACATAAAATAAATAAAGAAATAAATCTGGAAAAAAAAGGAGAATACTACCTTGCACTCAAAACTAGATTACCATTTAAACAATCAAAATCAGATTTCACAGGATGTAGCTTATATGTCGTCAGATATACTCATACTGGCTTTAGCTGGATACTTCAATGGTTTGGGGTAATGTTACATAGTCATTCAGCCATCACCACAATCTAGATATGTATTACAGATCCTTAGAAACTGCCGTTTTTCTCCCAACCATAATAAAGCTGCAAGCCCTAACTTTGTCTTTCACCCCAGTAATCAGCATTCCTGTGATGATGTTGACACGTTTTATAACACCAGGTGTGATCCTTAGAGCTGTCCTTGGGAAACATAACTTCTCCAGTACACTTAGGGACATCTTTTGTCCATTATAACTACAATGTGTCTCAAACAGCCTCCTCAAGGATGCAGAGCCTTAAGCAATACCACAGTCTTTCAGAAATCAGGGATCATTTCAGCTGATTTAGTAAATTTAACAGTATTATCAGTAACGTGGACTTTAAATCATAGTAAGAGAGGTCTCTGCTCTGAGTTCTACCTTCACTGTTTGCAAAACTACTTAGAACATACAGTGTTGAATTGTTGTACTTCCTCCTTTACAGCTTTGAATACTGAATCTCTACCCATGCACTGTTTAGTCTGCGAGTAGAGTTCTGCCCTGGGTCTGAAAAATCCAAAAGGGTTTTCCTTTAGGTCTGTAAGAGTATAACAAATTCTAGGATAAATGGGTGCTTAGAGTTTGAATTTGTTGGTTCCTCGTGGGTCCACAGTGATGCACAAAGCCCTATTAGTGCAGGTTACAGCTTGAGGTGAGAAGGGTTAAAGGCCGAGAATTGGGCTTAGATCACTGTGCACTGCTACATCCATCAAAGAATTCCCAGAGTGCTAAACTGGAGCCCAAACTTCTACATGTTGTTGTACTTGTCAAGGTAGAATGATAAAACATTTTAGTTAATAATTTTGCTGGGCTGCTTTTCAAATTTTCTACATTTGGACATATGGAACATGGTTCTTCTTTTTGTGGTTTCATTTCTATGAAATGTTCAGAATAGTCAAATCAGCAGGGATAAAAAAATAGATAAGTGGTTGACAGAGACAAGAGAATGCAAAATGATGAATGTCTGCTGTGCATTATAGGGGTTTTTGATTTTTTAAAGAAAAGATTTATTTATTTATTTTATGTATAGGAGTGCTCTACCTGCATATATACCTGCACACCAGATAGGGCATCAGATCCCATTACAGATGGTTGTGAGTCACCATGTGGTTGCTGGGAATTGAACTCAGGACCTGTGGAAGAGCAGCCAGTGCTCTTAGTGGCTGAGCCATCTCTCCAGCACCATTGTAAAGTTTCTTCCTGGGATGATCTAGAATTTAAGACTGGTAAAGGATACAGTGTTGTGAGTGCACCAAAGTCTACTGAGTTGTACTTTTAAAAGATGATAATTTTTTGACTATTTCAACTAAAGGATCTGTCATCTATATCACACCACAAAAAAAGTAGCTAAAAATATTTTTTTGAAAATTTTGTTGAAATTAGGAATATTTCTGAGATTTGGAAACAAAAGAATTTTAAGTGGAGTGCCGGTCAGTCTGAGCACCTTTAAAGTATATATTTGCCTTTCCATACATATCTCCGCATACCAATTTCTTTGTATATTTACAAAAGTGTATATACAAAGGCAAATGTCATTCACTCACCAACAGATTGCGGATGTGAGAAGAGACACAAAGGCTGGACAGAGATGACTATGCAAAAGAATCTAAGATGTTATATGTGCCTTTCATACATTTATAGTATATGTGGGTCTCTGAGAGGGCTGTTCCGGGTAGTATGGAAAGTAATTCAACTATGTAATGATTACACATCTTCACCCAAGTTGTTAAGATTTTAGGTCTTTAGTGGATCTGCTCATTCTGAAAGTTTGACTGCATGTCCTCTAAGGTCCCTTCTAGCTCCAACATCACACAATCCCATCATTTAAAAATACTTTTGCAGCTAAATTAATGGTGCTCTAGAGTAAATACTCCATTCTTGCTTTAATTGTACACACATTGTTACAGTTTCTAATTGTGTACAGGTGTGTTGAAGAACCAGCCTGCCTCCATCTTAGACTTAAAAGTCCGTTTATAGCTGGGCATGGTGGCACATGCCTTTAATACCAGTACTTGGAAGCCAGAGTCAGGTAAATCTCTGTAGGTTCCAGGCCAGCCTGGTCTACAAAGGGAGTTCCAGGACAGACAGGGCTGTTACACAGAGAAACCCTATCTTGAAAAGCAAAACAAAACAACCAGAAATCACCTTAGAGTAAAAACAAACTAGGCGCATTCCTGCTTATAATTAAACCTCTGTTTCTCAAAGATTGGGGCTATGCCTCACCTATAGCCTTAACTACAAATGGTTCTGTACTGCCTGTTCCAGGAATGGCAATCATGTCATTGTTTCTAAAAGTTGTTTATAACCATCTTGCAGCCCTACCTTTGTTTCAAAAGGTTATAGGACTACCTTGTTGTGGCTATCTGTTGTTATACCTTACAACCATGACTGTTACAGGAGGTAGTTAGCTATTACTTGTTATAGTTATGTTCTGCTTCTGTAACACTCCTTCCCCCTATTTTCCCCCATTTAGAACACCTCCCCCCACACCAATTCCTAAGGTCTATAAAAACCTTGTCTTCCTCACATCCAATGCGGATCTCTCCAAACTGGCCTTAGAGAGCGGCAGCCCGTGTACACGAATTAAAAAGCTTGCTTTAATTAATTTGGCCATGATGATTTGGGGTGGTGGTCTTTCTCCTCCCATCTTTGGGGTTAACATTGTCTAGAGGAAATATTTTGGTATCACTTCTGCCTCCAAACTATTCTTTGGTTCAGCAGATACCAGCACAAAACAGAGACAAAGTACCAGGCAGCGGGGTCGCTGTCGTCCTCAACCTAGGCGAAGCGGAAGTGGTCCTTGAAAATTACCTTCCCAAGAAACTTGCATTTGAAATATATTTCCTAGTTGTAATAGTAATTCTAAGCCGCCTTTTCCTAAACTACATACCTAAACAGAGACACAACCACATTTTCGTCCTCAGCACAATCAAGGATCGGCTCCCTTGAGAGAAACACCTATTCTTCTAGCTGCGGAAACCCACGGAACCAAGAAGCTGAGGGCACTGTTTCTGGGGCGCGCTCTTCTCTCAGAAGGACAAGCCTCCCGGCGGCGTTGCCGTGGAGACAGAGCTCACCGTGTGGATGTGGCAACTCGCAGTAGCACAGCCTTTGCAGACTATCTGCAGCAGGGGCTCACAGGACCGACGCCAAGATGGTTAGTGGCTCTGAATAGTAAGGGTGGGGGATTTCGAATAGGTTTGTACCTGGGTTTAGAGCTCTCAACGCACTATTGGGTAGAATCTAGGTGTAGACGTCTCTAGAGGACGATCCCTTTATCCTTCCAGTGTTTCCACGGGGAATAGGGAGGGATGCGAAGAAATATACCTCGATGCTCTCTTCCCTCCTGCTTCTTCATTTCTCGATACTAGATTGTGAACTGGAAAAATGAGTCTTGGAAGACCGAGATAGTAGAAGCTGCGTGAGTGTCTCTTGTGGATAAAGTTGTTGGAAGTAGCTATTCGGTTCTACTTCAGTAGAAGGTGATGGTATCACCTTTTAGTAAAATGCGTATTTAAAAAAAGAATCTGAATAGCCTTCCTAGGGTTTGTCATGTAGAGCTGACTGAGAACTGTTACTCTCAGTTTAAAAATGACTTTTGATAGAACAGTCTTTGCTATTTGTTTTACAGATGCTTTCAAGGGCCAAACCCGCTGTGGGCGGGGAGTCACCGAATACTGACAAAAGAAAGAAGAAAGGAAGGAAGATTCCAAAACTAGAGGATCTACTTTCACAAAGAGATTTCACTGGCGCCATTACCCTATTGGAGGTAATGTCCAAAGAAGGTTTACTTCTAAGTCTGGTGGATGGTGGGTTGAATGCTGCTTACTATGCTACTGGGACAGGTGGGCACATTATGGGTAATCCAAATAAATAGCTAGATGCATATTCCAGACTCCAAGTTAACTATAAACCTGATGAAATATAAAACATTTTGGACTGGAGAAGGTGGCTCAACAGTTAAAAGGACTGTGTTCTTCCAGAGGACCTTAATTCCCAGCACTCACATGCCTGCCCACAGCCATTAGTAACTAAAATGTCAGGGGATTTAAGGTTTCTGGCTTCCTTCAACACCAGAGACACATATGGTGCGTAGACATACATGAAGACTTGTATACATAAAATTAATTTTTTTTCTAGTTCCAGAGAAGAGGAATCTAATCTAAAAATACAGTATTACATATAACAGTGTCAGTTCACACATTATTTACCATAAATCCTGAGTGATTTGTAACTTCTTCCTTTTTACATTTTGGTTAAAAAAAAAGCGATTCTACCATTTATAATTTAAAACTATTATAAACCCATAAAACATTTCAACTCTGCATGGCAGAGTCATCATTTTTTTTTAAACCAATGCTGGGTGTAGATTTCTCTTTTTAATATGCATTGGAAGTACCAAGGATAGTTAGATGTTCCTATTTCTAGGCTATTGACTTTGAATTCACTAGCTCAGCAGTGATGCACAGGAAGCTGCATTTTGGGTAAATAGTCTGAGAAATCTGACATAAAGTTGTCCTAGGAGACTGAGCTTTGGGAAACTGCTTGTAGAAAGTACACAGTACAGTAGAGCACAGGGTGCACCAAGGGATAAAGAGTTCTGACAGCCTGGTCCTGTTATCCTATGCTGCAATCTATTGTATCAGATTTTTTCCACCAGCCCCACTATTGTGAATCTATAGTCAGGCAACTCTGAAACTGTTCATAATAATTGTTTGATTAGCTTTATGCATGTTTCTACATGTGAAAAGAATCCTATGTCTCTTACTAGTGCTTTGATATTGAGCCCACTTGTTTGGCTTTTGTGTGTCAGCTCTCATCTTTGGCAGTAGTGAGTTGCCTTGGAAGAACCTTCTAGCAGTGCAGGTCAGAGGACTGAATACCATGCACATGTCTATTTGTTGTTGTTTGTTTGTTTTTAAGACAGAGTTTCTCTGTGTAGCCCTGGCTGGCCTGGAACTCTGTAGACCAAGCTGGCTTCAAATTCAGAGATCCGCCTGCCTCTACCTCCTGAGTGCTGGGATTAAAGGTGTGCACCACCACTGCCTGGCTGTCTCATTTCTTTTGTAAATTAGCTTACAAAGCATTTCCATTGACAGTTTTAATTGACCCTCTCCCCTCCTCCTCTAGCCTGTCTTCTCACTCCCTACTGCATACCCCTTCAAACACCCACAGCCCGGCATATTTCTCTTTGCATTTTCACATTAAAACATTTAAAAAAAATTGTGTTTAGTTTGTGTCTGCGTGTGGGTACGTGCACCCAAATGCAAGTGCCCACAGAGGCCAGAAGAACTGGATGCTCTAGACCTAGAGTCATACAAAGTTGTGAGCTGCCTTATGAGGGTTCTAGGAACTGAACTCAGGTCCTCTTGAAGAGCAGCAAGTGCATACATACACCAAATTAAAAATAAAAATACTGGGCTGATTAAAGATGAAAACAAGCCAGGCAGTGGTGGCGCATGCCTTTAGTCCCAGCACTTGGGAGACAGGGGCAGGCGGATTTCTGAGTTCGAGGCCAGCCTGGTCTACAGAGTGAGTTCCAGGACAGCCAGGGCTACACACAGAAACGCTGTCTCGAAAAACAAAACAAAACAAAACAAAACAAAAGATGAAAACAAAGCAAAACCAAAAAAGTACAAACAAACAAACAAACAGCTTAGGGAAGGTGAGGATTTATTTAGCCTATAATTCCAGGTTACCATTCATATTGAGGCAAGTCTGTGCAGGGACTTGAAGGCTGGCCTGCTTGCAGTTCTATCCACTATTACCTCTGTATAAGGAACTCACTTTACAATCAAAGAAGCCCTGTGTTTTGATTTGGTTTCTATGAGACAAGATCTCAGTTTAAGCAGGCCTTAAACTCACTATGTAGATCAGGCAGGTCTTGAACTCATAAGATAGATCTGCTTCTGCCTCCTGAGTGCTTTGGTTAAAGATGTGCACCACCACATCAGGCTAAGCATTTACCACCATGCCCAGCTCCCTAAATTGTTTTGGTCAGGGTCTTTATCACAGCAAAGGGAATGAAACTAGGACACATGGTAATTGAGAATCCTTCTCAGACCTTTTCTCTGTAATAAAACTCATTTTTTATCAGCCGAGGAATTCCTACGTTTTTATGATGGACACAAATAAGGCTGTCTTCTGGACATCTTTAGCTTGTCTAGTTTGTAAGCTAGCCTGATTGGGCTAACAGAATGCTGTCATGGCCTGTCCTCAGAGAAGTGTGTGTGTGTGTGTGTGTGTGTGTGTGTGTGTGTGTGTGTTAACAGAATAAGACAGAAGTGTGAGATTGGATGCAGCAGAGCCCAGTGGTGGGAGGCTGGGCTTTGGAGGCAGACATGAATTTAAGTCTCATTAACACAGGGCGTGGCTATGGGATCATAGAGTCATTGCTTGGCCTCTAACCTTTGGCTACTTGGCTTTAAATTTTTGATATAGGTTTTGGACATCATCCAGAATTATTAGATTACTCACATACTTTCTGGAGTAAGGTGCTAGCAAACACAGAAAAACAAATCCAGAATGTCTGGGGGGAAATGGAGTTGTATGCCAATTAGAACGTGACTGTGCCGACTCCTGCCAGTGTGGCTTAATTGAGCTGCGTGTTGTCCAGCCTCTAGGAGCATTCTGCTTGTTTACCAATAACTCAGCTTACCTTTACAAAAACAAAACAAAACTCCCAAAGCCTTTATTAATAAAATCTTTTTTGTGTTTTTTTCCATGAAATTGTAATGTGAAGTTTAAACGCCACGTTGGGGAGCAAGAAGACGACAGTAATCTATGGATTGGATACTGCGCTTTTCACCTGGGCGACTACAAGCGAGCTCTGGAGGTTAGTGGGGAGTCCAACGGTGTTTACGAGGACATCATACGGTAACACGCATGGTATCAGCCAAACAATGCAGGAGGAAACAAAGTAAAAAGAAAGAAAATGCCCTATCTGTCTTCTCCAATCCTCTGTCCTTTAATACAGGCATCCATTGATCCTCCTTACTGTACTGATTCAGAGAGGGTGGGGAAGGTAACAGAACACATGGAATATTGTTTCTAAGTCTTTTTGGAAGAAGCACTCTGATACCAGTGTGAGAGGAAGAGAGGAGCTGGCCCTGGTAGACTGAAGCCAAGATAGCCCCTGAGGGGCCTCAGCCCCAGGTCCAGTTTGCATTCTCATTTCATATTCTAAAACCACAAAGTTGTGCAGGCAAGCTAGAAGCTGCAATGACAATCAGGGGCAGGCACAGGTTGTTAAGGGCAACAACCAGTTATTTCAGCTGTGCATGTGAAGTCATGCGGCAGACAGGTATTACAAGCAGTGCTTTACATAAACCACTAAATCAGTCAATATATCAGTAGCTAATAATTAGTCTTTTCTACGTTTTTCTGGTTCAGTATGAAAGTGGAGGAGGAAATATGTGTAAGTGGGAATGTTTGGAGGAGTCAGAAGCTAGGCTAGAGGAGGAGGGGAGGGTGCTTAAAACCATCCATGAGAACGCTGTAGGGAAGTGTGAGACAGCCAGGCAATGGTGGTGCACACCTTTAATCCCAGCACTTGGGAGGCAGAGGCAGGCAGATCTCCTGAGTTTGAGGCCAGCCTGGTCTACAGAGTGATCTCACTCTGAGGTCAAGATACTGAATTCCTGGATAGTCAGGTCTACAATGAGAGACCCTGCCTAAATAAATAAATTAATAATAGGCAAATATTTATAGAGAATTTTCCTGCTCAACTTCTCACTTTGATATATATATTAAAATACTTGTATAAAACCCACAAACTATAAACTATGATCAGGTATAGCACTCCAATATACTGTCTGAGTATTTAACACATTTGATAGTATTATTTATGCATAGTATAAGTTAGTATTTTAAAATGATTTTAAATACAATCCAAAAGTAACTTTATAAAAAGGAGAAGGGCTCTATATGGTCTGGCATGTGAGTCTGTATCTTACTTGCCCTTTATTTTTACATGTATGCTACTGAGACTCTGTAACATGTTAGCATTCACATGAGACTGAACTCAGGGTCTGGCACATGTCAAGTGTGTGTTCTACCATTGAGGTGTGCCTCTGTATTTCACAGTCATTTAAAAATGAGTTTTATATTTATTTATTTTAGTGTATGAGTATGAGTGTTTTGCCTGCATGTGTGTATATGAATCAGGTTCACACCTGATACCTGTAGAGACCAAGAGGTCATTGGGTCTTTTGGAGTTGGAGTTACAGATGACTGTAAGCCATCATGTGGGTGTGAGAATGGAACCTGGGTCCTCTGCAAGAACAGCCAGTGTTCTTAGCCATCTCTTTAGAAGCCCCATCTGTATGTCTTTTTAAGTTAGCAAAATAAATTTCAGTCATTTTAATTTCTGAAGGTTTCTAAGACATTTTAGAAATGAGGAAAATACAAAGTGTAACTTTCATGTACAAGAAACAAAGTGTAAATTCTGTGTACGAGAGGCCTGTTTGGGTAGAACCTCATGTGAGTGTAACCTCTTCTGGTGGATAATGGCTGAGGAGATCCCCAAAGTGTAAGCTGCTCTGAGAGAGAACCCTCCCATCACAGAGGATGGACACTTGCTTTACCGTCAAGCACGGCCATCACCACATGTCTGTTACAGGAATATGAAAACGCAACCAAGGAGGAGAACTGCAATCCGGAAGTGTGGGTGAACCTGGCCTGCACCTACTTTTTTCTCGGGATGTATAAGCAAGCAGAAGCTGCTGGGATTAAAGGTAAAGAGGGCTTTTTATGGGTCATCTTAGTGGCTTGTCCGCTGCTATCATTCCTCTCTGTCTTGTGGCTTGTCCACTGCTATCATTCCTCTCTGTCTTGTGGCTTGTCCGCTGCTATCATTC